AACAATACGGACAGCAAATATATGCAGACTCATTAAAAATTACGGACCTAGACTAGCCCTTGCTACATCTTTCCCCAACACTGCCTCGTTAGAGTCTGATTTTTTATCATCGGCAGGGAACGGGATGAATATCGTCAATTCCTAACCGATTTCTCCCGAGAATGAATTTTACACATGAAGCAGTTCCGACAAGTGTCGACAATTGATATTAGTTAAAAAAAAATTAGACTATGATAATATGGAAACATTCATTTATACTTACTAAAGACAATCATGTCCCTCACTATACCTCTATTGACTTGCTTCCTGATCCCTCTAATAAGCTAATTGGGGGAAATTGAAAAAAACTCAAGTACCGGACAACACGAAATTCCTGCAACCGATGTAAAAACTCCAACAATAGGATTTGTAAAAAGTCGAACTTGGTAAATAGTGGTCACATGGCTCTGAAAATTGGTGGCTATTATGCAATTATTTTTTGGTGTGGGCACCCTGTATTTGAAAATGCGCGACGCGCAGCACACAAATGCGCAACTCCTACAGGCAATTATTGATGCCGGCACCGCTGGGGTTTCGAAGCAGCTTGCTGAAGAGCATGGATGTGACCGCACGACTCTCTATCGATGGACGAAACGCCGCAAGGAAATCGAGGCAGTGAGTGCTACCAGTAGAGTGCTCCTCCCCGGACGCAGAGGGCCCAAAGTAAAATTCCCAGACCTTGAAAAACAGTACGGCAAAAATGATTATTTAATTTAAGAGTACTAACAATGGATGTTTACGACTGCAGGCTGCTGGGATGGGTGACCGATATGCGTAAAAATAAAGTGAGGGCCATAACAACAATGTGTTTGTTGCTAATGAGCGTGCGCCTAGAAAACCGTTTTTTAGAAGACCGCTCAGAGCAAGCTGCTATTGAGTACCTGCGTCGTTTCCGAGTCCGAAAAAAGCTGTCCGTGCGTCGAATTACCCACAAGGGACAGCGCAAACGTTCTGAGTTGCAGGTAGTGGTATGCGTATATTTTTATTTATCTAATTTTTTTTACTAAAACTGTTTTATTTAAATTGTAGCAGATGAGTTTGGACACGCATTGCGCTACAAGTTGAAAGCCCAAACAGGAAGTGAGAAGTTCAATCATTTCTACAACATGGACCAGACATCGATTTACATTGACATGAACCCGAAAACAACAATTACTTTCCGTGGGGAGCGAGATGTCGATGTTGTCCAAGGTATTTATGTATTCGTACGCTATTTGTTTTTTTTTAATTTTGTCTTAACATATTGAATTTGAAGGGATGTCGGAGAATTCTTTTCGGGCTAGCGTTTTTCTTTGCGCTTCAGCTAACGGCGACAAGCTGCCTGCCTTTATTGTTTTTGGTGGTGTCGAAGAGGGCCCGGTTCACTGTGAATTACAGCAAAATGAGCATCACATTGCTGACCGTGTAGTACT